GTATGTATGTATGTAAACATATATGTACATATATATATGTACACTTATAAAACATATATATATACACGTATAGATACGTTTATCTGGATCAAAGCAGTTATTCTTCGAGTATTTTATGCTTGATGTACAGTATGTGTGTATATATATATATGCATTCGTGCTTCTTCACTTCAGTATGCACGCGTTCTTTTACATCTTCGTGTACACCCTCACTCGGGATCGTGGTCCTATGCAATTTTCAATCATGTTCGCATCTTCCTCTATTTGTTTGTTCATTCAGAACCTGTTCACAGCTACTGCCTGCATGCATGCGATGTTTCCTCCACCCGCTACCAACTCTTGCACAGTTGTGTGCATATACAGGATGCATGCCTGCATTGCATATGTTGTTATGCGAGGGTTCCTGGAACGAATCTGTACATCTGCGTGTGTGTGTGTGTGGCTGTGTGGGTGCGTGCGTGATGCGTGGGTGCGCGCGTGCGTGCGTGTACTACTTCCAATCTACTCCTGCTCCTAATTAACTGCTTCTTCTTCTACTTCTACTTTTACTTCTACTTCTACTATTTCTGCTACCACGGTTACGATTGCAAATATGCTACTCCTACTCTTATGCCTCCTTCTACTCCTACTGCAGACACTGCTGCAACTATGGCTACGCCCGACTGATGATCGCGACCACGACGAACTGAACTGGTTTTACAAATCAGGATTTTGGAGCTTCACTTCAGAGGTTGGTTGCTACACGGTACCTGACCCCTTGGCTCTGTGAGGGCTTCGAAATAAGGAACGGGCAGTTACATTCGCATGTCGGGGGTTTCTTGCTTGGGCTGTCGGGCTTTGTGCCGACAGGTTTCGTTTCCCAGATGGTCGTCGAGAGCTTTGCCCCCGTGCTGGTGGACGTAGTTCCAACAACGACCACAACGACGACAAGCTCCAGCATCTCAGCTGCCTTGTTCTCCTGCACATCATGTCCACAGGTCTTTGGCTTCGGTGTGTACAATACCGGCCAATTTGACACTGTTAGGGGGCCATGGACAACACTTGTTCGCTAAACTTCAACACAGCGCATGCTTCAGTCATCTGCTGTCGATGCCGGCTCTGAAGCACTGGCGTCAGTGCTCGGATAAACACAATTCCGCAGGGCCCTAACCAGATCTTCCCAGTGTACCACGCACTGCCTGAGTATGTTGCCACGAGCACACATCTCACGAGGTAGGCCCAGCTAGGCTAAACTGCAACTAAGCCGTGCAGCTGTGGTCTTCTGTACCCTTTTCAAGGTTCAGGAGTGAGGAGTGAGGCACTTCATTAAGCGACAGTTTTGCGAGAGTTTCGCGACAGACAGGCAAAAGCTCGGGCCCGCCTCGAAAGCAGTAGACCACGTAAGCTTCCAGTCACGAGAATTTCGTCTGTTATGTCAGAATTCGGCATCGCCATAGTCAGGCTAGAAGCTGGACTCCCGAAGATTCAGCAAGATATTGAGTTCCTTTTTGTTAGTCACTAACATGGTCCCAAGGTTCTGGGGCTAAGGCTACTTGTGTAAAGGCGCCGTGAAGCGAGGTCGCAGTATGAAACAACTCATCTCCAGCTGGTGTAGAAGACATGTCGGCTTCGCTCTCATGCTGGTGCTTCGAAAGATTTTGGCATTGGGGTTGAAGGCACCACCAGCACCACATCCTCAAGCACGACGAGTACAACGAGCACCAGCACGAGCACGACTGCAACGTCCAGCTCCAGTACAAGCACCTCGAGCACGAGCAGCTCCACTTCGGAATCTTGGCAGTCTCAGCCCGCGACCTCAGGCCTCAGCTTCAGCCCCTCACCTCCGGTTGAGGCGACCAGCAGCTCCTCGACGACGACGTCAGAGACTCGCACGACCAGCACCTCCAGCATCTTGGCCTGGTAGTGTCTGTGCGCGGAATAGGCGCATTGAGCCCACAGAAAGCAGTGAGAGGTCGCACGAAGAGGCATCGCTTGCCTGCAAGCTTATGAACTTTCTGGGTCGCTGGTTGTGCGAGGCTCTGTGACAAGGACCAGCAGCACTTTCAGTTCATCGAGCACCACGCCCCTTGCCTTGCCAGAATCGGAAAAAGTTCTGGTTGAGAGCCCAGGAGTAGCTCTTCAACAACGAAAATAAGACGATGCCAGTGGCATTCGATTTTTTGTTCCTTTGACGGTGGGTCCGCAGAAGACAGACAGTGTGTCGGCTGCTCTTCATCTCATCCTGCATCAATGTGGAACTGCATTGCAGTGTGTTCGTGAATCTAGTTGCCCAGGTCTACTAGCCGGTCGTCATCCAGCACTTCGTCGACGTTTTCATTGACGACAACTTCCACAAGCTCGTCTCTTACCAGCACCAGCTCGACAGCAACTTCTACAGCAAGCACGACCACTTCGGCCTCAAGTACCACCACGACAGAAACCAAGAGCACAACTTCCTCGACCCTTAGCACGACCAGTTCGGCCACGAATACAACCACCACAGAAACCAAAACAACGTCTTCCTCAACCTTCACTACGACCAGTTCAGCCACGACCACGAGCACAACTGAAACTGTAAGTACGACCTCATCCACTTCAAGTACGACCAGTTCGGCCACGACTACCAGCACGACCGAAACGGCAAGCACGACATCATCCATGACGGTCACCTCCACATCTCAAACAAGCACTAGCTCTTCCAGCACTAGATCCATATCAACATCATCTTCTACCTTCACCTCCATCAGCACAAGCTCGTCCAGCATAAGCACCACCAGTGCCACTAGCACATCAACATCTGTCACTGCCACATCGACGTCAAGGACATCCTCCATATCGACTACGTCTGTCACAGGCACCGCGACAAGCTTCACAACGACAGTTTCAACAACTACAACACTGACATCAAGCTCATCCACGGGGAGCTTGACCACTTCCGTCACAAGCACCAGCGCCACCTCTACAGCTACGCTTAGCAGCAGCACATCGCAAACCACAGTAAGCACCAGTTCGACAACCACGAGCTTGTCAACCTCGTCCACCAGCATGACTACTTCGTCCAGCTTCTTGGCCCAGGCTTGGCTGTTAGATTTCCAGTTTAAGTCACTGTTTAAGTCGCTGGGATCCCTCTCTAATCTGTACCAGGCACACGGAAATCTGTACCTGAACAGTTTTGGAGTTCTTCCCATGTGTCCTGACAAGACCGCGAAAGACCGCTTGGTAGTACATTTGCTTAGGAGTGTGTGCGCAGAATACCTTCGTCGTTGAAGCTTTCGTCTTGGTGTACGTGTTTCTTTCCGGCAATCTGATGCGAGTGACAGCCAAGGCTCTTCGACGATTTTGAACCTCGGTACAAGAAGGTTTGCAGTTGAATTCTGTCGAGTATGGTGACTCAAGCCTGCCATCCCAGCCACAGTCATGCATGTGGATACTCTCCAATCGCCAGAATGACCAGTGCCCTGAATGTGGTGCCAGCTCAGGGCACGTCGTCTGTCCGGCCGAGGCTTGGGTTAGACAGCTTGTGCATGCAGCTCAAAGGTATGCATATACAGTGATACATACCTACCTACCTACCTACCTACTTACCTACCAACCTACCTACCTACCTACCTACCTACCTACCTACATACCTACATACCTACATACCTACATACCTACATACCTACATATACATACATACATACATACATACATCCATGCATACATACATACATACATACATACATACATACATATATACATACATATATACATGTACATACATATACATACACATATACATATACATATACATATACATATACTTATACTTATACTTATACTTATACTTAAACATACATACATACGTACATACACATACATATACATACATATACATACATATACATACATATACACACATATACATATATATACACACATATACATACATATATATATATACATACATATACATATACATACATATACATACATATACGTACATATACATACATAAACATATATGTGTATATACATACATATGTTATTATGTGCTGATATATACATACATATGTGTGTAGACACATTAGGTGCATACTACCGTGTGTGTTGGATTTTGTACTTATACTTTCACATTGAAATACACAGATACGTATATGTACAAATGTTTAGAAACTCTCTCTTACACACAGAGCAACCAAAGAAACATGTTCATAATCCCACACATCAAAAGGCAAAAACGAAACTTATTCAACATATAGTGGTGTATATATGCGTGCATGCATCCGTGGGCATGCGTATCCGTATGTACGTATGCATGAATGAACATATGCTCGTACATATGTATGTACGTATGTACGTAATTTTCCCTAACGTTAGCGTATTGTACGGTAAATGTACTGCAAGTTGCTGTACGCTATGTGTTGCAATGTGCATGTGTGACTCTCTGCTTTTGTGTTTGTCTGCGTGTACCCCCTGTGCCTATCTTCGCCTGCCTGTCCACGTGTATGCATGTTTGTGTTTAGGGTTTAGGGTTTTAGGGTTCAGGGTGTAGGGTTTAAGGGTTTAGGGCTTTAGGGTTTAAGGCTCTTCGCCTTTGCTTTTGTGTTCGGCCTAGGAGCGAGTCCAGCTTCGTACGCAGCTGCCACCAGATATGGTCCAAAGACATCAGGACCTCTTGGGCTTGGGGCTGAACACGAGAATGGCTGAAAACTAGTGCAGTCATGGCCGGCGGGATGATAATTCAAGGGATAGCAGCGGATAGGACTTACAGATCTCAAGTTGAGTTTCCGGCATTGGGAGCCTGGAGCAAGGGCCACAAAAACCAAGCAAACTACACCTTCCCCCACACCCACACCTGTTGAGAGAATTGTAACCTGCCAACTCCCGACCCACAGGAATAAAGCAGTGCGGGCGTGTTAATACAAATAAATAAATAAATAGATAGAGAAATAAATAAATATATATATATATACACTTATACATATAAATATACATATATACATACATATATATACATATATATATATACATACATACATACATATATATATATAATGAACAAGTAAATAAATGCATAAACAAATAAATACAAAACGAAAAAAAATATATATACACATATTCTGTACATTGTACATGTATATAGATTATACAGATGTCTAAATGTAATTACGCAAACTTATATTCTTGACATTGCAAATATCCAGATACACGGCAGTCGTAAGCTGGAAGTCGAAATCCAAGCAAAGCCTTGTAGGCCGAATTCAGCTGAAAGTTGTGCTCTTTGCTCAAAGTCTGATGGTGCTCGTTGCAGCCTGCAAGTTTCCTCGTCATGAATGGCTACCGCCGTGCTGGACGAGTCCTCCAGAAGGAACTTGGTTTAAGTTACTCTCACAGGGATAAAAGTAGCTACATTGATGATGCCATGGTAAGTTACTTGACACTCTGTCTATTTACACGAAGACGACTTCCTCAATGAAGCGTCCATACTACAAAACCCTTCAAAGCGCGCCTACAAGTACTGTGCAATCCCCTTGCTGCCCTCAGCCCTAAATTCATACATGGAAACTTTCTGTGGTACTGTGAAGCCCCTACTTTTGGCAGCCCGTCTGGGGTCCTACAGATCTTAAATCCCCAAGGTCCGAGACTCTAAGAATCGAACTTGTTTTGTTCGTCTTTAAAACCATCCTTGGAGCCCTAAACCCTAAACCCCAATATTTCTATCGTGTACGACAAGATGTACTCCAATATAGTTGCTACAACAGGCTGAGATGTCAGTAGTTTTTTAGATTAGGCTCCCTGTTTGAAATCCCCAGAATAGTACGGCACCCTTAC